CCCCAACCTGGGGTTGCAACTCAATGGTCACCCCCAGCAACACACACACACACACACACACACACACACACACACACACACACACACACACATTCTCTTACTCTTGGCCTGGGTAGGAGAAGAGTTATTTGGTATTGAATCATGAAGACATGGAATATATGCCTTTTAAGTGTCAATATTTGAGTCTTTTATCTTTGGACACAGAGTCTTACTATGTAGCTCTGGCTGGCCCAGAACTTACATAGGCCAGGTTGGCCTCAAAGTAGTGGACCTCCTCCTGGCTGTCTTTCCTGAGAGCTGAGATGATAGGAGTGAGCCATCATACTTGGTTGAGTTAAGCATGCTTAGCAATTAAAATGGCAAGAACAGAGTCCAGTATGGGTTGTGGGCAGGAGTGTGGCTCAGGAATAGAGTGAACGCTTAACATGCATGAGGCCCACAGTAGGAGGCAGGGAGAGGAAGAAAAAATGCAGAAAAGAAAGACACACAAGCCAGACAAGAAAAGAAAGGGCACAGCACACAGGGAGAGCAGCACTCAGTCACATCCTGATAAAGGCCACCTTCTCCATTCCACACCTCTGGGCACTTTGCAGACTCTACAGCTGTGGCTGAGGCAGTGGTGCTGCTGAACATCCGTAGTGTCCAAGACAATCCCCCCACATCAGGATCATCAGCCCTGGCCCCAGTGGTGCTGAACCTGAGAACCCTAGACAAGACCACAGTCTCTGAACTGAGCTCTACTCAACACAGTACCCAGAGAGAAACCTGGAACTCTGGTGGATAGGCGGACCAAAATACCAGTTAAGCATCATCCAGTACCATGCTCCATGGAGGAGCCCCTCAGAGATGTGCATATATAAGATGTGACAACAGGACAACACTGACCATAGGGATACTCAGGTCAGTAAGGAGCCTGGGATACAGTCACACTGAGGTTTGTGTGTCTGAAATCACATATATCTGTTCACACAGATCTGCTCACACTTTTGTAACAAAAAATTTTAAGCAGCAGGGCATAACAGCACTCACCTTTAATCCCAGCATTTGGGAGACAGAGGTAGGTGGATCTCTTCGGGATTGAGGCCAGCCTGGTCTACACAGCGAGTTTCAGGCCAGCCAGGGCTACAGGGAGCCCCTGTCTCAAGAAAATAAAATAAAATTCTACATTAAGCCAGGTACTGAAGCAGTTTGTGAAATTGCACATGCAGTTTAAAGCATTCTAAGGGCAGCAGCAATAGTTGCTTTTGTAGAGGACCCAAGTCCAAGTCCCAGCAACCACATAGCAGCCAATAACTATCTGTGACTCCAATTCTCGGGGATCCAATGCTCTTTTCTGGCCACTATGGGCAGTGCACACATGAGTACACTTATATGCAGGCGACACACATACACATAAAATAAAAACATGGCTGTACTTAACATACATGCAGGTAAAACATACATACAAACATACAAAAAGAAAATTAAAAAAAAATTAAAACCAAAACTAACTAACTTAAAGGGGACCCCAGAGAGAGAGCTCAGCAGTTAAGAGCTCTTTTTGCTCTTCCAGAGGATACAGGTTTGGTTCCTAGCATCCACATGGCAGCTAATAATGGTTCCTAACTCCAGTTCTAGGAGATCCAACGCCCTCTTCTGGCCTCTGTGGGCTTTGCATGCATGGATCCACTTCTATACATTCGGGCAAAAATATCCACTTCTATACATTCGGGCAAAACACTCATATACACACACACACACACACACACACACACACACACACACACACACACACACACACACCCTAAATAAAATCAAGGGCAAGCATTCTAGAAGCTCAGCAAAAAAACCATGGCTAAATGAACTTAACTTCCTAGTTATAGACTGGCAAATATTGCTGTCTCAGCAATGCACCTTTTTTGTTTTTGAGACTGTAGCCCAGGCTACAGTCTCCTGCTTCAACCTCTGGAGTGCTGGGATGACAGGGATATACTGCGATACCTTTTTTTCTTTTTAATTTTTTTTTATTATTTTATGTGTATGTTTTGCCTGCGTGTACGTAAGTGCTTTTGTGTCATACAGTATCCACAGAGGCCAGAAGAGGGTGTCAGACCCCCTGGAACTGCAGTTACAGAGAGCTGTGAGCTGCCATGTGGGTGCTGGGATTCAAATCTGGGTCCTCTGCAAGAGTAGTCGGTGCTCTTAACTGCTGAGTCATCTCTCTAGCCCTTCCCCCATTCAAAAAAATTGTTTTTTAAGACAGAAGGTTGTCTCAGCCTCAGCTGGCCTGGAACTCACAGAGATCCACCTGCCTCTGTCTCAGGAATCCTGGGATTTAAAGGTGTATGCCAGCACACGTGGTATGCCATGTCATTTTTTTTTTTAAAAAGACTGATATAGGTGCACTCACCTACATGCAGGTAATACATGCATACACATAAAATAAAAATAATAATTTTTTTAAAGTCTTAAAAAAGAAAGATTTTATTTTCATTTTATGTGAATGAGCGTTTACCTGAACGTATGGAAGTATATCACGGGTATGCCTGAGGCTTGTGGAGGCCTGAAGAGGGCATCAAATCCTTTGGAACTGGAATTATGGACCATCCATTGTTAGCCTCCATTTGGGTGCTAGGAATCAAACCCTGTTCTTCTGCAAGAGCAGCGAATGCCCTTAACTGCTGAGTCATCTCTCCAGCTCCTTAAAGACAGTCTTATTCCATAGCTCAGGCTGGCCTAGAACTCCTGATTCTTCCGCCCTAGATGTGCACTACCATGCATGGCTAAACTATATTATTGTATTTTGTGATAAGGTCTCATGCAGGACAGACTGCCCTTGAACATCTGATCCTCCTAACCTTACCCAAGGATGACAAGTGTGCATAACCACACTCGGCTTATTATTATTTACTATTATTATTTTGAGACAGGGCTCATATGTCTCCTGGTCTTCCTGCTTCCAGCTCCCAGTGCTCTGACATGCTCCTTTCACTACTGAGTGCCTCTGGGCACTTCCATCTCACTGCGCCACAAGATGGACCAGCATGTATGGCAAGCAGTGCTCAGCTGCTCTTGCAGCAGTGCCAGAGTTAGCCTGTCTGAGCCAGCTTCTGATGTAGCCATGTGCTTTTTCTGCTGAAACACCACCGGGTGCCATCCCAGCACAACACAAAATAAGATGAAGTAAGCAGGCTTACCAGTAAGCAGGGTCCTGCAGAAGAAGCAGTCTCTCTCTGGGAGACAGCCTGCCTTGGATGATGCGTGTGACAAGCTGATCAATGGTGTCCACCACCCTGTGATCTGCCCGCTGTGGGACTGCTGGAACACACAGAATGATTGTTTTGAGACTCACTGGATCACACTGTCCTGAATACCAGGGCAATGAACCGGGCCAGCACAGAACCCAGTGGCCACCAGGAACCAGCACCCTCATTCATGGGACAATGTGTTGAGAAGAGGAAAGCTTCCCTGAGTAGTGGGCATGTCTTTAAAATATTTTATTTATTATTATTTTTATTTTATGTGTATGAGTGTATTGCCTACATATATGTGAGTGCACTCGTGTCATGCAATGCCGTGGAGGTCAGAAGAGGGCTTCTGATTCCCCTGGAACTGGAGTTAAGGATGGTTCATAGCCGCCATGTGGGTGCTGGGAATCGAACCCGGGTCCTCTGCAAGAGCAGTCAGTGCTCTTAACCGTTGAGCCATCTCTCCAGCCCCAGTAGTGGGCATGTCTTTAATCCCAGCACTTAGGAGCCAGAGGCAGGCAGATCTCTTTGAGATCGAGACCAGCCTGGTCTACATAGCAAGTTCCAGGCCAACCAGGGCTAGGTAGTGAGTCTATCTCAGAAAAAACAAAAACAAAACAAAACCAAAACCAAAAAAAGCAAAGAGGAAAGCAGGGTTTTATTCTAAAATCCAATACAGAAAATGTCCTGAAAAATGGCACACCTTAGTCACGAAGAGTGAGCCAGCAAACTGCACAGAGCACTCAGCCAGTGGGGAGTCTAGAAAGGGGCAGTGGCACTAATTCACACCACCATTCACAGCCACTTTATCACCCTACAATGTAAGGAGAGATATGAGCTAGAGCCAGGTGTGGTAGGACTTACCTGTGATCCCAGTCACTCAGGAGGCAGAGGCAAGACTGCCTAACCTCAGGAGTTTAAGACCAGTCTGGGTCCCTGTCTCAAAACAAAACAAAACCTAGGATGGGTGAGATGGCTTAGTGTCTAAGAGTGCTTGCTGTGTAAGCACAAGGACCTGAGTTCAAATTTCCAGGACCTACATAAAAGGTCAGGTATGGCCGTGTGTGCCTACAGCCCCAGCGCTGTGAGGGGCAGAGCTTGGAGTAAAGCTGGGGCTTGCTGTCTGCCAGTCTAGCTCCAGGAGCAGTGAGAAAGCCTGTTTCAAGAGAATGAGGCAAGAGTAACAGAGCAGGACACCCAAAGTCTTCTGTAGCTTCCGTGTGTGCAAACACAGGGAGATGCACCTACAGACCTGTGCACACATACACACACATGCAGATGCACCTGCAGACCTGTACACACAAACACACACACACACGCAGGTATCTCTGCACATACACCCCCCACCACATACACATGCAGATACACCTAGAGACCTGTACACATACACCACACACACAGACACACACAGACACACACACACACATGCAGATGTACCTGCAGACCTGTGCACCCCCCATGCAGATGCATCGGTAGACCTGTGCAAATACACCCCCCCACATACACACACACAGAGGCAGATGCACCTGCAGACCTGTGCACATATACCACACACAGACATAGACACAGACACACACACAGAGGTAGATGCACCTGAACTACAACAAAATACCCTCAAACATAAAAAATACAAACAAAACAAAGAAAGAAACCACTGAAGGGGCTGGAAAGATGGCTCAGTGACTGACAGAATGCTCCCTGAGCAACCATGAGGACCTGAGTTCGTATCTTAGCACCCATGTAACAAGCTGGGTGTGGTCTTGTGCATGCCTGTAACCTAGCACTATGTATGTGTGCCTGTGCCCATAAATGGAAGTCAGAACAGGGTGTCAGGTGTCCTGCTCCATCACTTACTCCCTATTCTCTTGAGACAGGGTCTCTAAGTAAAACTGGGAGCTAGCTAGGCTGGAGGCCAACAAGCCCCAGTGATCCTCCTGTCTCTGTCACCAACAATACTGGGGTTATGGGCATGGCTGCAGGTCTTTCAGTGGTGGCTGGGAGCTGAACTCAGGTCCTCAAGCTAGTGCAGTAAGTGCCCTTACCCCTTCACTTACTCCCTATTCTCTTGAGACAGGGTCTCTAAGTAAAACTGGGAGCTAGCTAGGCTGGAGGCCAACAAGCCCCAGTGATCCTCCTGTCTCTGTCACCAACAATACTGGGGTTATGGGCATGGCTGCAGGTCTTTCAGTGGTGGCTGGGAGCTGAACTCAGGTCCTCAAGCTAGTGCAGTAAGTGCCCTTACCCCTTGAGCCATCTCCTCAGCCCCTCTTTTCAAACATACATACATACATACATAT